AGAAGAAGAGGAAGAAGAAGAGAAAAAAGCAAAATTAAAGTTATACTAATCTGCATCTCCATCCTGACCACCCTATTCTCAGGATCCTGCAGCAGCCTGGAGTAAGTGAAATTGATTTGCTGGTTGTAATACCTCTCATAGTACCAAATGTACTTTTTAGACATTGCTGGTAAATGTCCCGTGTGCTGTGAAAGATACCTATTTGTAGCAAGATGGATAACAAGTGCCCTTTACCAATTCTCTGCAAATCACTGAATGGTTGTGCATCATTTTGTCTCCCACTTTGCTAATTCAGAGGATAATGGCTCCTATTTATGACCCGAGAAGCTTTTCTCCATCAATTACCGTATTAGTCATAAAGCCAGTCCCCTCCCTCCTCTTACACCCCTCCTCCCCCACCAAACGACAACAGTAAAGTACTGTAAATGGAGCCGTCTCATATTCACATTCCCACCTCCCACTCTCTGCCACTTTATAATCACAGTGCTGGTGTATTCTGTGTTATCGGGTCCAACAGAGGTAGCGGCCAGTAGCAGGTGGTTGCTGTATTAGCTAAACAAGCGTCTGTGTGCACAGTGTGAGTTTTTCCTCCTCCTTCTATTCACTCTTGTTTGCGTGGATCTGTTCTATTCTCGGGGCCTTGTGAAGATAGCTGGGCCCCTATTGCTGGTTATTTTAGCTTAGGCCACGTCCCCCTGCCAGGCAGATAAAGACAGGTTCTGTGTGCTTATCTAGGCAAGGCTGTACCTCAGTCTGTCTGTGGGAAGCTTAGTGAATAGAGGGAGACTTTAGTAGAAGGGACAAATGGCCACTGTGGGTGCAGTGTCCTTTCAATGTCATCTCTGGTAACATAACGAACAACAGTACGTGGAGACTGACATGCGAGTTAACTTAGAGCCATAGAAGTGCATATATTTTCAGAAAAGGTGGCACTAGTGGGAATATAACCTGCCTACTAGTTCAAAAGAGAACCTTCTAAATGTTTTGCCTTCATGAAAATGAACTGAAAGCTATTTTTACCCACTGGACCAAAGGAAGCCTGGAGGATTTGGTGCTAAATGTAGCCTTAATGAGCAAGAAGGCTGCCAGAGACTTGCAGTTTTTGTACTTGCATTTGATATAATTTGATACTGGTGTCAGTGCATATCGTCATCACATGGGCCATTCAATGCAGGAAACACTGTGAACAATTTTATCTGTTGATATAGGCCCCTCTGTGCCATTATTCATTATTGCAAAGCACTTTAAATCCAGGCTCCGTTCAACCTTTCTTACCCTGCAATTACTGGTGTTGGCAAAGTTCAAATTGAACTTGGAGTCAGTGGTAACTGGCAGCAAAAGCCCAGAGGATCACAGCTGGGAAAAACAGAACAAAAGGTTAATTATGCTCATCAGAGTTCACACAATCACACACGGCATACCTGCAGTAACTGCACCTTTATAGACATTCAACAGCCAGTGCCAGTCAAACATATGCAGACAGGTACACAGAAACACCTCAGCAGAATACGTTTGCCCACCATTCATTTTATTCCTTTAATGTCTTAAACACACTTTTTTAGTGTTTTTATTGAAAACAAGAACTACATTCAGTTAAACTGGGAGTCCATCTAAATGAATTGTGCGGACAACTTTACCTAATCCGAATTGACTGGAAGTTAATTAAAGCTACTGACTTCCAAGAACATTAAACTCACTTTGTGAGATGACTAAAGTCTAAAAATATGAATGCCCTTAAAAATACAAGGAAGGAGAGCAGAGCTAGAGTTAAAACTTTTGCCAGTCCTTATGTGACAAAAGTTTCAGGCAGTGGGATATAATTATGTGCAATTTTATGCCTTGCAGTAATCTCTGTAGAGGTTGAATTTGAGATGCATGTCTCTGTGAACAGTGACGCCCAGGGATTAACCTATGACAGCAGTGACATCTGTAGGCCGTAGACTGATGTCCTCATCGTGAGAGAGATATTGTGTCTTACATTTGCACAAATACCTTTCCATTTTCTAGCACTAGCATTAGCTTTTGTCGAGCTGTGAGTGCCGCCTTACAGCTGAGCTGGTGGCCGTGATAGACGTTCTTAGCTGCGTTTTACATTTTTATTTCGTCCCCAGGCAATGGATGTCTTCTATTCAGAAGAATCTAGGACGGCTTTCAGAAAATGTACAAAACCCTGGTCACCCTTCCTTTCGTCGTTATTGAATGTCGCTTTAGATGAGAGTTAATGTAAATCTAGGTCTTAGAAATCAGACTTATTGTTAGTGGCGTGATCAGTGAATACTGTCGTAAATGCCTCGCTGATAAGGGGTACATGGACACCAGACGCCAAGGAGTTTAAGATGTTGCAGCACGTACAGCAGATACTATGGTTTCCAAAAGGTATTAACTGGCCGTTTGATCTCATGCATTTAAAAGAAAAAGAAAAATGCAAATAACCAAAAAAACAAACAAAAAAAAAGCAATAGGTACTGAAAGTTATAAAAGCTTTCTTTCTATAGAAATATGCAGCACTCTCTCTTCACAGCCTCTCCTCGATTCTCTGGACCTCCCGTCACCTTCTCTACTCTTCTCTTCCAGTGTTCTCTTTACCACTGACCTCTCCACCTCCTGCTACACTTGTCCTTCCGTCCTTTCCAGCGGTCACACTCTTTTTCGTTCTCCTCTCAGCTCCCCAGCTGTCTCGCTTTATTTAAACCTTGCTGAGATAATATTGAAAACTATTTAGTTCTGAAAATTCTGCACGTTTCACAAGTTCAACTCAGACGCACATGCAAACAATCGCATTTATTGTACATTTCTCACATCCTATGAAGCGAGACAGGGAGAGCTGGAGAAGGCGACTGGGTGGAAATGTCAAATGGTCCAGGGGAAAAACTAATCAAAGAATGCTGTCCTTCAGCAGAACCACCGCCACAGGCTTGATCTGTGTAAATCCCTCTTCTGTCTCAACAGAGAGCGCATTGTAAGGGGGAGGTCAAATGCAGAGGAGCTGTGTTGTGTAAAGCTGTGTTGTGCAGTTTCAGAATGGAAATTGAAAGTGTAAAATGCCAAAAGGGGTCATAGTATGCAACGCACAAATAAAGCAGGCCTGGTCCTTGATGACGATGAAAGGATGCCGTACCTATATTGTACCACAACCTTTAACCGTAGATATAGGAAGTATACTCTAGTGAAATAAACAACAGAGTGTTATTTGTTTTTTTGTTTTTTTGTAAATTCATTGTTTTTATCGTGCATGTTATATGGTTTCTGTGAGCTGGAAAACATTGTTTGACAAATTGAAATTTCTTTATGTTTAAATCCTAAATTAGTTCATTAAGTAACATCAGGTTTGTATTCAGAAGGAACTGGTTTGTAACATACATACTCTGCATGTATCATAAACATAGAATAAGCTTCTGAAGTTAGTAATGTTATTGTAATAATATTTATTTAGTTCAGTGTGGACAATATCCATCTCTCACAGACTGCAGGAAGAGATTTTATTATATATGAAAACAAAATTTACTATCAAATTAGTGCTTTAAAATCTCACAGTCTTGCAATACCATTTACACTTTAAAAAAACACAATGTTATAGAGACCACTAGCACTATCCCTTGAGCTATGCATGCACCAATATTCCTAAAAACAAGTATGGTAAGCAGGACAGAAATAGCAGCAAGATGAGAAAAACTGCTTATTTGCAGTAGGAGAACAATTTCTGCCAAACACTTGTCTCAATAAAAGAAAAATTACATCACAAATGATATTATTGAGTCTTGGTTTTAGCCATGAACTAATGTTAATAGTTGTTATTAGCTGAAAGTCTTTCTTTTTGTCATGTAGCCATAATGGTGCTTTTTGAAACAGACTTTTATCAGCAGATCATCCAAGCAATATAAATCAAGGTTGCACTTTTTTTTTTACTTTAGATTCTTATAAAGATTAAACACATTTTTATTATGTTTCTAAGCACTCATCCCAATAATTCAGCAGGCTAAAGTTAGTATGTGTGTTGCTGTGATATTTGCATCAGAAACATTTGGATTGTGTAGTGCCTCTTCTCGCCCTTCTTCTTTTCCTTCCCCTTGTCTAACGCTATTCCCCCTTACCTCATTCTCCAATTGCGTATATCTCTTTACCAGATAATGAATGCAGGAACTCTCCTTCATATGTGTTTAGCAGTGCCTGGAGACTGGTGTTGGCCCATGGTCCCTTAATTATTAATTTGACGTTATGCGCTGGCCGTTTGATCATCCCCACATATCTGTATGATTCCATTTTAACGAGTTCCCCAGGAGTCTGTTTTCTCTCTGTTTCTCTCTTTCTATCAGACTTGTTGTCTTGAACTTGCTGCAACCCAAGCACGAGGGGAAAATTCCAGCTCCAAAAGCACCAAAATTGTAAACTTTTGATGGGCAAAAGCATCAATTTTCCCGGGCAGATCGATTTTTAGTATGTTTTAGTGCAAGTGAGAATTGAACTGCTGCAGTGGCTTAGTCAGTGCTATACTCTGTCCAGCAGGAAAAGTCATGTTGAGCACTTGGAAAAAAAAATAGCGTCAAATTAAAACAAAAACTCATTTTTACTGTCTCATCTTCTTAATTGCCTTTGCTAATGTATTCCCAGCAACGCCAGTAGTATGCTAGGCTGTACTCTATTGCGCTGTGGGTAATCATTTTAAGCTAATAATCGTCTACGCCTTAGCAAAGACTCTACATATAAATTCACACCACAATGCTCTCTACCCAGCCCAGCAGAACTCTGAAGTTGTAACACTAAGATGCAGCACTGTGCTATGGAGACAAGAGTAAGAGTAAGGTTGATGAGACGTTCTGTACTAGTGTCTCTCTCTATGGATGCGTGCACTTAAACCGGGATTTAAAAGTCTGTATTTTCAGAAATGTAATTATGGTAAGAATGGCATTAGCTCTGGTGATGCTGCATTTGCCTTTCGTCTACTAATGTATCTCCCTCTCTTCTTGTCCTCTCCCTCTTTCTCTGTTGTCTTCGCTCCTCAGCACTACCACGCTTCACAAAAGTTCCCGTTGACCAGATTGGTGTCTCGGGGGGTGTGGTCTCCTTTGTCTGCCAGGCAACAGGTTACCCCAAGCCAAAGGTTAGTTGGAACAAAAAAGGAAAGAAGGTGAACTCCCAGCGTATAGAGGTAAGTGAAACCTGCTGTCCATTGGTGCAGCCTTTATTCTAAATGTTCTTTGTTGTTCTTTGTGGGATCATTTTTTTTTTTGGAATTGTCCCACTTTACTTTACCTTAATGAGCTTTGGGTGATATACTCAGTAATATTTTTATGCATCATATTAAAAAATGTCACTGTCGAAAAATGTATTGACCTAAAAAAATGTTGTATCTTCATGTCAGAGAACATTACATTGAAACATTTTGGAGTATCATGGGAGTAAATTGGGGGGGGGCTGCTAAAAATTTAGATAAATAGAAAGTTGTGTAATAAACAAATGTTCTTTACCATTTGTTACTTTATATATTGTGATATTTACTATTGTGACAAATAACAATCCTACAGTTTAATACCACATTACACGTTTTACCACATATTTTCTTCTCAGCAGTACAAAATTCCAAGTCTTCTCTTGCAGCTGGGGGCACTCACCACCTTATCAAAAGCAACATTTTAATTAGCCTTGAAATTATTGCTGATAGCATCTTTGTTGGCTTGCTTCTCTAATCTTTAAGCAGTGTGCTAGTCTACCAGTAGCAACTGGTCAGTAATGAAATACAGAACCCTCTCATTCGTCTAAAGCCATTTTTTTTTTCTTTTGCATTTGAATAACTCTGCTGTTGTCACATTTTTTCCCTCCTGTCTTTTTTCAGCACACAGCCCTGTCTGTGTGAATGTTTCTGCACGTTATTCATGATGTTTGTTGTTCACTTCTCGGCAGGCATCCCAGATGGCATCTCTAAAAGTCTTGATTGATGCTCAGTGTCTCTTAATTAAAAAGTTGCTTTCGTTAACAACGATGACAGTGACAGTGCAGGGATGCGCACACATGTACGCACACACACGGACATGCACAGTGCGGCATGAAGGTAGCCACAGGGGGAGGGGCTAAAAAAGCAAAAAATGGCACCATCGACAAGGGGAGATCAGCATTTCCACTGAGGACAAAATTAAAAGACAAGTTGTGTTTGTGCGTTTGCCTCGTCTGCATGCTAAGTAGGAAACAAAGCCAAGGGCGTGAAGGAGCCCGCCAGAACGGACGCTTCTTTTTCTCCATTTATCATAAAATTAAATTAAAAAAATTTATAAAGGGGTTTTGAAGTAGCTGGGGTTTTTTTTTCCTTTTCCACCCTCTAGACAGCTGCTTTGATATCAATCATGATGCCGTGCTCTGCAGTGTTTTTAGCCTAATTAGCGGCTCAGCCCTGAGATGTGCAACAGTGGAGCAGCAGGGCTGCTGAAGACTTGTACTTGCATCTTATAGTCATGCTTTGCTCAGAGTTCACAGCAGTGAGTCCTTGGCTGAGACGGTGTTAACTTTTGCGAAGAAGGACAGATACTGGAGGAGTAGGTTTGCTGTGAGAATGGCAGTCTTGACCATCTACACTGACACTTCACACATCCAGAATGAGGGCAAAAGAGAAAGGCATGGGAAATATTCAAATCAAGGGCTAATTAACCGAGATTTTCCATAATTTAAATTCTAGTCTTTTACCCAAGTCTTGAAGTTCAGCTCATTGCTTCAGGATACATGCCTGTTGATATGCTGGTGTTCAGGGAGATCAAACAAGGCTATTTAAATACTAGCCAGGGGCCAATTTCTGCAACTACTGTTGTAAAACTGTCCGGTTGTCAGTCACACGCATTGTTACATTTTCAGTAAGTTTTTGTTTACATTGCTCTTCTTATAGAATAATAGTAATAATAGCAAATAATATATTTTTATCATAACCAAAGCTCTGTTCTGCTCAGTATTCTGACCGTTGTCTGATATTTTTTGTTTTGAAGAGGCTCCTTTATTGAGGTTCAAAACAAAAGACTTTATAGAGAACAAAGGGCATAATTAAAGATCAAATCAACAGATAAAATCACAAAGCACAAACACTGTTTGTAGAGAGAGTATGCTTCCTTATGATTTTTTTTTTTTTACATTTCTGATGGCCTCAGGCTATAAAACATTACCAACACGGTACCTTTCCAAGCAATGATATCTTGGTGGAATTGAAAACGATTTCTCACATTTTGGGAGCACCGATGACACACTCGTCCTTGTATCTCCTTAGGAAATGTGAGAATCTTATTTTCCTCAGGTTTGCCATTCTTGCCTACCTGTTGCTTCAGGTTAAAGTAATAGTTTTTCAGTCCAAATCACACATTTGTCTGACTTAACCGTGTTCCCTACACTTCAACTCCACAGACCATAGAGTTTGACGAGGGTGCCGGTGCAGTTCTGAGAATCCAGCCTCTCCGAGCGCCACGTGATGAGAACGTCTACGAATGCGTGGCTGAGAACAGCGAAGGCGAGATTGTCACCAGCGCCAAGCTGTCCATCATCCGAGGTAAATCTGGAATTATGTAACAGTGTGCAGAGGCGTAACTACAAAATAAATCATGAACACGTACGTCCATGAGCTCAAAAGATGACATCTGTTAACTCGTGAAGCCTGTTTGGAACAGCTGTAGATAGTGCCCTACTCTTTTTAGTTTATTATTTATTATTTATTTGTTTACTTTTTGGGGATAAAAAACGATGTCTTCAGCTGTAGATGCTTTGATTTGATACAAATTCTTTTGCCGTGTAAAATGGTTTTCCTGAAGTGATGGTTAAAGAATGTGTGGTAAAGCCATACCTAACACCTCCTCATACCTAACATGCATTTTATTGATTTGTTGCTAAAGGTTGGTACTTTAGTTTCAGTAAAGATATTACACCATTTTTTTGCAGCGATTTAGAGGTGATGAATGATGGTATCATAGACAGTCAAGCACATGTGGTCACATGTTTACACCTTTTTCTCTGTCATTCTACCTGTCTCTGTTTGCCTCGCATTCATGGACACACGCATGGTGTCTTTTTCCTCCTCTGTTCACTCCTACTGCCATCTGCCATGTTTCCAGGCCTGGATGAAGCTGAGCAATTGCTGGCCGACAGTGCACAAGCTAGGCCTCCTTGGCTATCACATCCACATGCGGTGGGGGTATTTTAGAGGCCTGGCCCAGAATTTTCAGTCAGTTATTGTTAGAAACACCCCCTGGGTGCTATTCAGGTGGGAGTCTTCTAGGTATAGAGCTGCAAATGTCCATTCGATTTGAAAAAGTTATTTTTCAAGAAGCGATTAATAATTTAAGTGATTATGCAAGCAGAAATGCCAGCATTTTCCACATTTAGGTACTTTGCTCATTACACAATTAAATATGTTTGGGTTTCAATTTGCTTTTGAACTGTCAAAAGCAAAATGCAACCCTCTGGTAAGTCTTAAAACCAGAACATGTTGCAGTTTGCAGGAACATGAAACGTGATGTCATTCGGTGCAACGGTTCCTCTTCTCTTAACTTGGGTATTGTCTTTGTTCCTCATTAAAAATTTGAAAGACGAGGATTTTGTGTGGCTGTCTAATTACGTTGGAAGCCCTGAACTTATGTTTAAAGGGCTTAATATCCTGCCATTTTAATTCTTAGTTTGATACATTATTAATTATTTTAAGGCAAATTAACTGTGCCGAAGCGCAGGGCATGCAAAGTGTAGGCACACATACCGATTTTAAACAAGAGATTGAAAAAATAGGAACAAGCACACCAAATTTTGAACTACAAGTCCTGGCATGTGCATATGAGTGTGTGTACTAGTGTGTGTTTGTGGCTGTGTGAAAGAGCACAGAGCAAACTCAGGGCAGTCCACAGGAGCAGAAGGAAAATGAAAAGTTATTGGAATCAGCTCAACGAGGCTTCCTCTTGAGCCCAGAGGAAGACAGCAGCTCTCCTGCCCAGGCAAGACCCAGCACTTAAGGAGGGATGAGAATGTGATGATGGGAGTGAATGTGAGTAAGTGTCAGAGGAGCAGAGCAGTGCAATCTCTTTGTTTTCCATCTGTAATGAGTTCTGGGGGGCCCTGCATCCATCTATCAAGGGTTGAGAATGGAAAAAGGAAAGACAAATTAGGAAACTGGAATATTTTGGATTTTAGGTTATTATAATTTCATTCAGGTGTTCAGTTAACTGAAAACAAAGTGATGGAGAATAAAATGAGGAATGTAAATGAAAGCAAAAGTATGAAGGTAAAGGTGGAAGTGGAGAAAAGCCAGAGGAAAAAACGAGGGGGGTGAAAAATGGAGAACAGTTGGCCAAAGATGAAGGAAAACAGGAAGTGTTGCGGGCGACTGGCAATACAGAACAGGTGAGGAGGACAATAGCCCAACACTAGTTCTTGGCACTGGGGCAAAGGATTATGGGATATGGCACAAGGCACAAGGGACACATTCGCAGTAAACATAGGGATGTGGTCTGGGATCTAGGGAGATTGAAAATGGGTCGCCGTGATGGGTGACTTGGCTAGAAAAAGCCACAGTGCATATTTGTGAGACTGTACAGCTGCATGCACAGAGGCATCCACATACCCACATTTGAATAAATTTACATGGCTCACACATAAATGTAATGCACACACACACACACACACACACACACACACACACACA